CCTGTTCTTGTCTGAAAAATATTTTTGACTGGCACATTCTGGGGTGGGATAAAACAACCAAAAATCATGAGATTGCCCTTATAATACCTGACAGCTTATTATACCATGCAGCTGTCATATAGGTTCCACTGAGACCATCTCATTGAAAGTGTGGGGTGGTGTGGGGAGGATGAATATGGAGCCTCCTGATTATAGGCTGAGAGTCTCAGATGCCCATCGAGCCCTATAGAAGTGGTTAGCCTAGCCTGGCCTCAGCCAACCTCACAAGTGTAAGCTTCTTTTCACAAGTGTGAAAACTTTAGACATTGATTTCTGTGGTCAAGCTTTCTGTCCATAGTTAATGGCAAAGCAACATGGCATGCTTAGCTATCTGGTCTTCACATTATTCCTCATTTTCTCACCTAGCAGGACTAGTCTATGAGCTTGTACAAGATGCACAGGCTAGAGAACTTACAAATTTGGGGACATGGGACTGAATTCATAGTTGCTAAATTAGAAAGAGACATGATTGAGTCCACTGAAGATGGCCTCAGCTGTTCTTTCTGTGTAATTGAGGAAATTATGATCATCAGATCATTTCATCTGACTTTGGGTAAACATGCAACAGTCAGTTTCTAAAACATGTATTTTTTATTGTTATTGTCAAGATGATGCTCAGAGAAGTTACAGTTACATAAGTCAGGTAATGAGTACATTGCTTTTTGAATAGTGTCACCCTTTCCCTCACTTTGTCCCAGTTTTCCCTCCCAACCCCTTCCCTGCAAGTTGCACAGTTCATTTTCAATGTAGTGTCTAATGAGTATCACTGCTGCATTTGTTCACCCTTTCTGTGCTCCACTTACCCTCCCCCCAAACAGATAACCTTACAAATAGGACAAAAGGTACAACCCCCCCCCCAAAAAAAAACTAAACAGCAATATAGAAAACAAACCTCTTGTTTCCATTTCTTGGAGGTCATTTCAATAAGCATCATTTATATGATCATATGCACATATCTATTGAACCCTTGTGATGCTCTCCTAATAATATTCCTCCTTTGTTCTCACTGTGTGAATGTTTAGAGTCATGTTTATTATGTCCAAGTGTAATTTTTTGTCTCTTACTATCCATTGGGTTTACTTGTAGATTTATAGGCACATTTTAATTATCACAAATGAGGGAAAACCTTCAACCTATGTTTCTTTGGGGCTGGCTTACTTCACTTAATATATTTTTTCCCATATTTTTCCATTTCCTTACTAATTGGGAAATGTCATTCTTTCTGATGGACACATAGGATTCCATTGTGTATGTATACATTTTCTTGATCCATTCATCCACTAAGGGACATCTGGATTGGTTCTATATCTTAGCTATGGTATACACTGCTGCAGTAAACATGGTTGTGCTGGTGGCTTTAGTGTGGCCCGATTTGTGGTCAATTGGATAAATGCCCAGAAGTGGCATAAAGAAGCTCTGTGTTTACTCTTTTGAGTAACCTCCATACTGCTTTCCAGAGTGGCTGAACAAGTTTACACTTCTACCAATGAAGGCTAGATCCCTGCCAGCATCTGTTATTGTTAGTTTTCTTGATAATGGCCATTTTAGTTGGAGTGAAGTGGAATCTCAATGTTTTGATTTGCATTTCTTTTTTTCTTTTATTGTGAAAATACTGTACAGGGTGGTTACAATTACATGGGCAAGATAACGAGTACATTTCTTATCAAGCATTGTAGCCTCCTCCTTTGTTTACCCTTCCCATCCCATCCTCCCCCCCCCACCAAAGTTGTAAAGTTCGTTTTCAACATAACAACTTGTATATCTCATTGTTGCAATGGGTTCACCCGTATTCCTATTCAAATGACTTGTTTTTTCCCTCCCCTTCCACAAATTATACCAACATCAAATACAGTGAAAGCAGGGGGAGGGACATACAAAGCAATAAAGAAATAATCTTATAAATGTGTTAGAAACAATCGTATGAAAGAAAAAAAACATTTGAATACATATCTTAGAGTTCATTTCCCTAACATCAACTTATCTGACCTTTTCTGCTTGACTCAGACATATACTAGTTATTGCAAATAAGGGAACCTATGGGACCTATGTTTCTTTGGGCCTGGCTTACTTCACTTAATATAATTTTTTCCAAGTCTTTCCATTTCCTAACAAATGGGGCAATGTCATTCTTTCTGATGGAGGCATAGAATTCCATTGTGTATATATACCATATTTTCTTGATCCATTCATCTACTGAGGGGCATCTGGGTTGGTTTCATATCTTAGCTATGGTAAATAAGGCTGCAATAAACGTAGTTGTGCTGGTAGCTTTAGTGTGGTCTTGTTTGTGAACATTTGGGCAAATGCCCAAAAGTGGAATTGCTGAGTCATAGAGGAGCTCTATGTGGAGTCTTTTGAGGAACCTCCATGATTTGCATTTCTTTTATGGCATCAGATGTTGAACATCTCTTAATATATCTATTGGCCATTCCTACCTCTTCTTCTGAGAAGTCTCTCTTTAAGTCTTTACCCATTATTAATTGGGTTGTTGTTTTATTGAGGATTTGTTTGGGAGCATTTAATTTTTTCTTTTAATTCTTTCCTTTGTTACATATGTTTTTATAGTAGAAATACTGTACAGAGGGGTTACAGTTACATGAGGAAGGCAATGAGTACATTTCCTATCAATCATTGTTACCTCCCCCTTTGTTTTTCCCCTACCATCCATTCCCTCCCCAACTCCCCCCCCAAAAAAGTTGTAAAGTTCATTTTCAACATAGTGTCTTGTACATCTCATTGTTACAATGGGTCAACCTGTGTCCTTATTTCAGCATTTTGTTATTTCCCTTCCCCTCCCAAATTAGAAAAATGTATATCCAAGATTCAGGGCACTGATATCAAATACAGTGAAAACAGGGGTTATACCGTGGGGGAAGAACATACAAAAGAAACAAAAAAAAATCACCTAGTACATTTTAAATATGTTAAAAAGACTAGCAAGAAAGAAAAAACCAGTTGTGTCCCTATCTTGGGGTTCATTTTACTTAACATCATCTAATATGGTCATATGTGCATAGCTTTTGATCTTTTCTACTTGTACTAGACTTATACTACTTATTACAAATAAGGGAAACCATGGAACCTATGTTTCTTTGGGCCTGGCTTACTTCATTTAATACAATTTTTTCCAGGTCTTTCCATTTCCTAACAAATGGGGTGATGTCATTCTTTCTGATGGAGGCATAATTTTTTGAGCTCTAAGTATATATTAGATATTAGACCCTTGTCTGATGCAGTAAAGTTCTTCCATTCTGTGGGGTTTCTATTTATCTTGCTAGCCATGTCCTTTGCCCGTGCAGAAGCTCTGCAGTGTGATGCAATCTCATTTTCCAGTCTTTCTTTGATTTGTTGTGATTCAGGATCTTCACTTAGGAAATTCTGAACTATATCTAGGATCACAAGTGTTTCCCCTACTGCTTCCTGTAATATTTTCATGGCATCTGGCACCTGCCTTACAGTGCAGGGTACAGTCATTTCTTGAGTACCATACACAGAGATTTCCTTCCCTCAATACATTATATGCTAGTCTCATCACAAACTTGCAAGTGCTGGACTGTTTCTCTTTCTAGGTGTCTGTTCAACACCAAAGCTGATACTTTTTCCAGCTTTAGAAAACATAGGTATAAAATTCCAAGAAGTGGGAAATGCGAATGAGTGTAGTGCAGGCTTCCAGAGGGAGCTGAGGGAGAATTACATAACTAGGCAGAATAGGGGTTTTAATTCAAGGTGAGAATCTTGAGGTTGAGTAAGATCAAGAGCAGGACAAGTTGGGCCTTTGCAGAAGGCACCAACTAGACAAGAGACTAAACCATCCTTTGGAGAAAGTCAGGGGAAGAATAGTATAGTGTCAGTTGGCTCAGGCTTCTGCAGGAAAGCTGAAGTGGTAAAGTGTATGCCAATTATTCTCTGTGTGGTGAAGTACTACTTTTAAGATAAAATTCCTTTATTCTGGAGTCTGTTTTACTGTATATTTTTGTGGCTGTATATGCAGTCTTTGTGCAAGCTTTAAAGCTGGCCTTGCAAACCAGGTGCTGAAGGTGGCTGAGGAAGACTGAAAGAGCAGCAGCTATCAGCCATGGTTTTAGAAGTTCACAGTCACAGTGCTGAACCAAAAAGATCTCAGAAAGTGCTGATCTCAAAAACATTAATTTGGTGAAGCCAGTTCATGCTCTCAGGGATCTTGTGGTTCCTGCCTCTTCTATGCTCCTCTCAGCATCATCATTAGGACAAACAGCGCAGAAATAATTAAGCATGGCTTCCATCCAGCTTCTCTGCCTTCTAGAACAGAGAAGAACCAACAACTATGGGAGGCTATGGAAAGATGAACGCTCCATTAAACAGAAAAGCTGAATCCAAGGTAAATTAGTGACACAGTTTGAATATGAGATATTTCCCTGGAAGGCCCAAGTGTTAAAGACTTGGTCCCCAGTCTATAGATCCAATTGTTGAGAGGTGATTAAATCATGAAGGCTCTGATTGAATTAATGGGTTAATCCATTGACGGATTTAAATTTAAAGATATTAGTGAGAGATGATGAAAACTAGGAGTGTGGCCTGGCTGGAAGAAGTAGGTCACTGAGTATACGTTGTTCCTAGCTACTTCCTAGTCTCTCTGCTTCTTAGCTGCCATGTAGTGAGCAGCTTTCCTTTTCTGGGCCATCCTACCATGATATTATGTCCTTTCCCACGAGCTTTAAAGAAATAGAGTCAGCCAACCATGGTCTGAGACCCTTGAATATGTGAGTCAAAATAAATTTTTCTCTTCTAAGTTGGCTTTTTTTGAGGTATGTAGGCACAGCAAAAAAAGCTAATTAATACAAATAGACTTCAGATAATGACAGATATTTCTCTGACTTCCTCATACCAGTTGTCTTTTGCAGGGCCTGACATGCAATGTAAGAAGCAAGGGCTGGAAAGGCTGTCAAGTCTGACCTTGCCCTGGGTGCACTCTTCTTTTTCAGGCAGCACTCAGGCACGAGGATGGTGATGAGACTGCAGAACCACCCCACAGCGGGCACCGGGATCGGAGGAGGGCCAGCGTGTGTTCCAGTGGCAATGGAGGTGAACATCAACACCTTGACCGCAGAAGGAGTCGCAGACACTCAATACAGAATGTCAAGAGCTCGCTGTCAGCTCCCACCAGTCCTTCTTCCCAGCTGGATCCTACCTTCAAGCCCAGTCAAGTGCGAGATCTCTGTGAAAAGTAAGCATAAATCCAGTGGTGGGGAAGGGTGCCAAGGCATACTGAAAAGAGGGAAGGAGATCACCAGTGCCCAGCATCATTCCCTTCCCATGGACAGTCAGCATCCCCTGGCCTTGCTGCCTATTCTCTACCATTAAATCACCACTCCTAGAGAACTTTCCAGACAAGATGGCCCTGGTAGCATACACAGATTCAGACTTCCTAACATTTGACTTCATCTTCAGCCACCTGTGGTTTTGTACTATTCAATATATCAGTAAAAGCCATTCAGAAAAGCTGTTTTATGAAATGGCAAAGAATCCAAAACACAAAACTGTGGCCTGGAATAATTGGCAGGCTACCATAGAAATGTGAGATTCATTGACCTACATGTGATAATACATGAAATTGGATTTAATGACATAGGATAAACCGGTGCAGACTTAAAAGCATCCCTTGATATTTCAGCTACAATTCCATCATTTAGTCTTTCAATGTACATTTATTAATGACCATTATAGGGCAGGACTATTGAAAGACATGAAGGTAGATAAGTTGAAAAGGTGTGATTTTCGTCTTTATGAACCTTCCCATCTAGGCTGAGAGAAAGATACATAGGAAGAAAAAGAGAGTTTTGCAGTCCTAGGAGAAATTATATAGGTTCAGAATAGGACATTTGACCCAATTTATGGAAGCCTCGAAGGGTTCTGAAAAATTCAGGTGCAGCAAAAGATTGGCTAGGCCTCTCTGGGGTCTGGGTCTTGTCTGCTCCAAAGTGCATCCTATCAGTTTACTGGGATGATGGGCTTCAAGGACTAGGCCATGCCACTCAGTCCATACAGGCTGATCATCCACTTACTTCTTGTTGTGCGAAGATGCAATCAGTACTACAGGGATTGGCTGGAACCTTCTTCTCCATCACAGGAGTATTCCTGAGAGTCAGATAGAGATCATTTGAATGTACAATAAAGATGGTAATGACTCAGAAGAGTTGGGTGATTTTGAGAAAAGTCATCTATCAAGATGTGTCCTTCGCTGTTGCTGTGGAACTAAAACTCTTCCATCTCTATTACCAAAGAGTATCATGCCCAAGCAGCATGGCAGCCATGGAATCACATAGGCATCATAAGCCCATGCCTTTGGGCATTGGGTACTCAAGAAGGCAAAAAGATGGTAAAGTCTGAGAGCTTTATAACATGTCTTTCTACTTCATAGACATGGGGGCTGTACAGCTACTGGTGTTTCTGTTCCTGAGAATATTTGCTAAGATTTCCTTGTGATCTAAAATCTTGAAGACACTCAGCCAGAGCTCAAATCAGAGACATTTGGAGTTCTCTTCTAGTAGTTTTGCTAGGTGATAGCTCAAGAATGAACATGGATTGAGGGGTTGAGGACAATGTATGTAACGGACGGTGACTTCACCGTCTTTGGTGTTAACTTATTTGTTCCTCTTTCTTTTGCATTTAGGTGACAATACTATGTGATAAGTTGACAAGTGTGCCAGCAATAGAGGAGACCATTTGTGGCACAATTCACATTCTCTAAGTTTTGGGCTCAGTGGGAATTGTACGGAAGATCTGGACACATTACTCTGAACGTTTCTGCTTCCACTCTTTTAAACAGGGTGACATTTACATTTTAATGAAATTATTGCTCTAACATAAATTTAGTAACATTTGAGAAAAATACACTTTCTGGTTTATAGAAATGGAAAACATTTTACAGTCTGGTGATGATGACATGACATCATCCACAAAACCTGTTAGAGAAGGGCTTTACCTATGACCTTAAAGTGACAGTACGGTTTTGGCCAAGGTGAGAGTAAGGTTGAGAGAAAGAGGGTTTGAAAAGCTATCCTACTTAGTAATATTGGTGCCTTCAAGTTAAGTAGCCCATCGTGTGCCATCCCCTGTAGACCTAGAAAGGTACAGTCTGCCTGATGTAGGCCACTCTCTTTGTGAAGGTCCTGGTGCATTGATTGCTTATTTGTAGTGACATGCCTCCGGATGCCCACATGTAAGGAATGTGAGGCTGGATTTTTATCATTCTGTACCCCAGGTGATGCCAAGATGTTTGAGAAGAAGTTAGAAAAATGTGTGCGGTCAGGAAAGAATTCATGTTGCCTAAAAATGTACGATGTTTTCTCCACTGAAGTTCTTCTGGATCATTTGGATTTTGACAATAATCCTCTGTCAAATCCTGGCAGGACAACCATTATTGTCCCCTTTAGTGTACAAGTGAAGAAACAATCAGGGGAGCAGCCTGGCTGGATCTAGGGGGTGGCTGAGCTGTGGTAGCCCCAAATATGTGGCCCTTGTGAATCAGTGTTCAGCCAGTAGAAAACTACTTCCCAGTTAACTACTCTTAAGCATATGTATTGAATCAGATTCATCCTTGTGACTTTGAAGAGAGAGAATTTGATTTGTTTACTATGCAGATACATTTTTACTCAAGTGAATACAAAAATTCAGAGAGAATTGAGGCATATATCTCAAAAGTATCCCTATAGACATTCGCTGACTAGGCTATGTGCTGTCATTCTGGTTACAGCTACTAAGATAAAACTCAGCACTCCTGTGCTTTGGTTTCTTAAGAAATAGAATTCTACACTATGCATTAGTTACCTAAAAGGTATCATTGTGTGACTCTGTGTGTGTACCATAATGAGTTTCATCTTTGTGCTTAAAATTTACAAATTTGATTGAAAGGAAGAAAAGGGATACTTTCATTCATTACTGAGGAAATTATTTGGGGCTGTCTAATTAACAATAACAACAAGTAAAGCCATGTCTGTTTTAATCTACATTCAATCTTGGTACTAAAAGGTGTTTAAATCTTATCCCAAGCAAGAGCCAAGAGATGGGTATACTTCTATACTTAGGCTCTGTCTTTCCTGAGAAACCCAGTTCTATTCATATACTTTATGCTTGTTAGGAAACCTTTCACTCAATTCTGCCTTCCCCAGTGTTTCCTCGTTTATCTATCTATCTATCTGTATATATACATATATATGCATATATATATGTATATACATATATATATATGTATGTGTGTGTGTGTGTGTGTGTTGATACTGGGGCTTGAACTGAGAGTCTTGCACTCTTGCTTGCCTTTTTTGCTCAAGGTTAGCATTCCATCACTTGAGCCATATATCCAACTTCTGGCTTTTTTTCTGGTTAATTGGAAATAAGAGTCTCATGGACTTTCTTGACCAGGCAGGCTTTGAATCTTGATCCTCAGGTCTTAGCTTGCTAAGTGGCTAGGACTTGTAGTGAACCATCAGCTTTGTTCTAAGAAATTGTTTGAAGTCGAATTCTAGGTCAAAGAACACTTATATTTTGAATATTGACATCAGCCCACTTTTCTATGAAAAGGATATACCAGTTTATCCCACCACTAACCTGTCCTTGGCCATTTTCCCACTCCATTACCAGCCCTGATTGTTATCAGTTTTTCAGACTGTTTGTAATTATTGAAGGTGACATGTGGTAACTTGGGACTTTGATTTGAATTTTGTGATAATTACTAATTATCTTGAAGGCTTCAATGAAGGACAAGCGATTGATACTTTCTTCTCTATTTCCTGTTTGGACTTTGCTCACTCATCCCCCACATGGCTTGCCTGATTTAATTAATGTAAAACTACAGTTTGGTTTTTGTATGGAAATTTTTAAGTGTACCACTTACTGATTTTTTTGATCCTGAAATAATCATATTTATTTGCTTATTTTTCTCTCAAATGGGTGCCAAAGATAGTTTCTAAAAATGTTAGAGCAATAACAGCAAGACGGAAAAAAGCTTTCAGTTAGTAATAACTAACCCACCATCCCTGTGGAGGCGGAGGAAGGGAGGTATATAAAACAGAAACTTGCTTAGAAGGAGGCCACAGTTGACTGTCAATGACTGGAGGCTGAGGAGGAGCCAGAGACCTAAGCTGTCTTTGCATTTTTGGAGCTCACAGCTGGTATACACCAATTAGTGGCCCAGTGGGTGGTAGGATAACGGAGCCAAGCCTTGGGGCTGAGCCTGTGGACTGAGCTTCAGGGAGGCAATTGAAGGGATGTTGTTCTCTATATTACTGCAAGAGTGGGGAAAGGTGTTGGAATCTTTCCACAAGCCAGAGGAAGTTGTGGGCAAATGAGGGAGCCTAATTATGACACTGGGTAGGTGAGCTCATTTTCCCTTATTTTGACAAGAAGGAGATGTGTTTTGGATGCCTAAGTTCTGGGATGGACAGAGTTTGGTTGCTAGGGTTACAGAATTCATCTGCTGTAGACCTACAGGATCTACAGCAGTATAGTAGAGAAGCCTTTTCTCTTTCTTGGAAGCAATTGGCAATAAAAAAAACCCATTTTCAAAGAAAAAAGTTATCAGACAAGTAGATATTATATAATGCTAGCCTATAATATTTGTGACTGGAGTGACCTGCTTGGTATGGCTCCTGCCACATGCAGTAAGAGGCAGCTGTGAAGATTGAGAGAGAGGCAGTGTGGTTCTCAGGCCTGACTTCAGTCTCCTCTTGTGTAAATCCAGAATGAGGATGTCTTTTTAAGAAGGCAGGAGGAGAACTAGTCTAGACTGTACAAATGTATGCTTAGCCCTAGGCTAGACTTCACCAATGTATGCTTAGTCCCATTTATTTTCAGTTACTCTATGCCCCAGAGCTTTCCCGGATATTGTTCTAATAAAAAAAGTAACTGTTAAGTAAACACAGACATGAACTGGAGAGCTGTGTGTTGTGTACCAGCATAAACATGCTGGAGGATTTCACAACCAGATTAACCACCACTGTTACCTTGAGTGGCATGTAGCTACTTGGAAAGATTTATCTGATGGCAAATGGTTTGTTATGAATGGGGTTCACTGACAGGGCTATGACCTCTTGGAAGTAGGTATGATTGGAAGACAGCCAGTGCTCTCCCAACACAGATCCATGGCTCCTCCTGAGTACTGAGCAGAGAGGGGGTTGGGAGGAGTAGAGTGGGAGGAGAGACTTGGAGAGGCATTGGAGAGTAAGTGCT